AATGATATCAACAAGCCTGCAAAAAAAAAAAAAAAACTGAGTTCTCTATACAACCCTGGGTTCCATATTGAATGACTTTGAGAAGTAATTTTAGTTGCATGTCATTTACAAGATTTTACAATGCAACCACTAATTTGTTGTTGTGTGGTTATACAGTACAACTGTCCAGTAGTTTTGAGGAGACCCAGGCCGACAGAAAAGGGCCCTCATACAAGAGACCCAGGTCGACTGAGAAGGGCCCTCATACAGGAGACCCAGGTCAATTGAGAAGGGCCCTTATACAGGAGACCCAGGTCAATTGAGAAGGGCCCTCATACAGGAGACCCAGGCCGATAGAGAAGAGCCCTCATACAGGAGACCCAGGCCGATAGAGAAGAGCCCTCATACAGGAGACCCAGGTCAATTGAGAAGGGCCCTCATACAGGAGACCCAGACCGATTGAGAAGGGCCCTCATACAAGAGACCCAGGTCAGATAGAGAAGGGCCCTCATACAAGAGACCCAGGTCAGATAGAGAAGGGCCCTCATACAAGAGACCCAGGTCAGACAGAGAAGGGCCCTCATACAAGAGACCCAGGTCAGATAGAGAAGGGAAAAATAAAATCCTAACCAGCAGAAATAAAATCCTACCCCCCCCCCCCCCCCACTACACAGCAAAAGCAGTAAATAACAGTAGTAACCGCAGTTTTTCTTAATGGCAGTTTGTGATTTCTTTTTGAATGATACATTAATCTTAACAATGTCAAAATAAATATCAAGCAGTTTTCTACAAAATCACCTGAAGCTGACTTAACAATTAAAGACTTGCAAAACTGTTGTTACTGGACTAGTGCTTTCCATGTGACTTCTAGGCTTCTCTCCACTTTGTGAGAACAAGAATAGGCCCTACCCCCCCCCCCCTCCCCCAAGCATGTTGTAAAAGGTTGCTAATCAAGAGGGTTTTCTTCGAGGTCGAGTACATGTGCCTGAGAGACGAGGAACCAATATTCTGCATTCAAATAAGCAGATGTAAAATGGATATGCATGCAAAAGTTCAAGAGGAACAAGATCAAATTCAGATGCGGATGAACAACCAGAACTTTCCACCAGAGTTTACAGCCGTGTGAATGCAAAGAAGAAGAGGATAACTGCTATAGACATTGTTTCCAGGCTTGTCCCCCCCCCACACAGAAACACACTTACTTGGGGGTTGAAGATTGTGCTGTGGCATTCTGGGGAGCTTCTTTAGCTGCTGCAGACAATGGTTTTGTACTTGCAGATCCCTCAGCCGGCCTAGTGTTGCTCGGCGGGATGCTTGCCTTTCCATTGAGACTTATTTCAATAGAGTCCCCATCCACCTAGAATAATATCACACATGCAAATCAAACTGACGCATGCTTCCTATGATCGATTAGCAATGTTATGTAACACTGTTGTTATACAAGTGATGTTAGTTCTAACAACATGGATTTTAGTTCTAAATGTAATTTGACTTCTACCCAACAACATGGATTTTGGTTAATTCCCACAACTCATATTTTTTCACTCTAATAACTGAACAGTAGTTCTCACCAACAACTGGTTTATTAATACTCTTTATCAACATTTCACTAGTTCTTTCCAATAACAGAGCTATTAATTCTCTCCAACCATACATGCCATTAGATTTTCTTTGATATTATCTTTGTTTTTCTTCAATATTATCTTTGTAAACTGTCAATCGGGCCACTTGCAGTGCGGTGGTATCTAACTGCTGCTGTGCTGTCTACAACAGACAACGAATAAATGATAAAAACTCTCTGCAGCTGTTTCACAGAATGAGTTTGTACTAGAAATGGCTGAAGTCTTAGTCTTTTCACGATGTTCCAAAGTGCAGGCCATTTAAACATGGTGATCAATAGCTTCAATGAAGGTGAAAAAACAATCTTTTAGTGGTGCATGTCAGAGATTAACAGCTTAGGCAAGTATTGATTCTACCGTGAAGGTTCAAAGCAGACACATTAGGCTCCCCCCCCCCTCTACTTCCTGCTAAGGTCACAGATGTTATCACAAGCCTTTGGTATGAGTATTTCATCAAACAGATTTCATTTATTGCTATATTTGCTTTTCTGTTCAGCTGGTTGTCTCCCCACCCCTCCCACCCCACATTTTGTGGAATTAATCAATTAAAATAAGAATGCAGTTGATTTTTGATCTGCACATTCGTCTTCCCTTTTGAATCTGCTGGACACTATCTCACACTGCAAGGTCATACCCTTTACTGTTCTTTAGGGGCTTGGATTTCAGCCCAAAAACCTGAAAAAGACAGCAATAGCAAGCAACAGAAGATGTTCAGGCAATCAAGCACAGAACTAGTAGCCGCTGTACTGACCTTGACTTCAGCTTCTTTGACATTGTCTTCTTCATCTTTAGCTTCAGAATTTGACCACTCAGACTTGCCGTGCTCAGCTTCATATTCTCCCAAGACTTCGTCTAAATTATAGCGTCTTCTGAAGTTCACAAAAAAACTTCTCACATGAGCCTCCGTCTTGTTGCCAATTACTTCTGCAATAGCTTTAAAGTCTTTTCCATACTTGCGTACACCTGTATTCAGGAAGACGGCATATATTTAGTACAATAATTTATGACCGAAATAAAGCATTCCAGCATCTAATTAATTTTTTTCCCAAGGCATACTGTAGCAGTGTTAATTCCCCCGAACAAGCTGTTACAAAGCTTGAGTAATAGAAATCATATACAAGCAATTATAATATTTAATTTTCAAGAATGAATTTTTGCTGAAATCGTGGTCTTGTGTGACTGCTCAGAACAGTTTACTTTTTCTTTTTGTAGAAACTTTTCTTGGTGAGAAGAAAAGAAAATGCATTTTGAATCATTATGTGCAATAGACAGGTAGAAATCTGGTTTCACATAAGAATCCTTAGAATTCTTTGGACAACTAAAAAGTGCAGCCCAAATGTTTTGGCAGATGCGAGGGCTCTTATCAACTTATCAACACTAGAAAGGGACAATATTTATAAACATTAGAGAGACAATTATATGGCCATGCAATGAGAACAAAACTGGAACATCATGTGACCACCGGAAAGATCTGCTGACACAGAGACGGAAGAAAACAACATAAAACATTTGTTGACAGCCATTTGCCATGGCATGGAGGGTTGTCAACACATGAATAGATAGGTGCTGTTGAAGATTGCAGATTGTGAAGGGGCATGATGGTTCCAAGAATGATACCTTCTTTCTTTCTTTCAAGAACCACTTGTGGCAGTGGTGAAATGTCAAAAGCTTGGCCAGCATAGGCCTGTCACATACCAGCCACGCATAGATACATGGTGCTCTAGTTGCTCTAGTACTGGGCTCAATTAAGGAACTGCCACGTCCTGCTCAAGACTGCTTAACCTCACCTCCACATACCATCATTGTACTTTCAGAGTCAGACAGGAAGAAGTTGTCAGACCTGGGACTTACACCTGGGACACACAGACAAATTACTGTGGATACAGAGGATGATCAAGGAGCTACCGTGGTGTAGCGGCTAGATCTGAAGCTCATGAGTTCATGTCCTGATGGACTCGGACCGTCTTTTCTTTCAAAAATGATCTCAGCTCTCATGCTGATCAAGCTCTGAATGGGTACTAGGTAAAGTCCTGGGAAGTAAAGGTGACCATAGTGATGCTGATCATATTACCCACCAAGTGCCGACTGGTCTATAAACTACAGATCTAGCCCTATATGCCCAATACACATGAAGGCATGTACAAAGGTTACTATAGAGAAAGACTGCGTGCACAGGCATCCCTTAAAGTGAGAAACTGGAGAAGAAAAAAAAAAGCTGAGCCTGACAAGATTTAAAATAATTTCATTTAAAACAATCTGAGTGAAGCCCTACCTTGAACTGCCAGAAGAAGCTCCTCATTAGTCCACCGTGCATTGATCCGGTAACCAGGCTGCAAAATATAACACACTGTTCTCAACAGCTGCACTTATATTACAATTTTTTCTTCATCTTCCACTGCTTTTACGCTCTCTGCTACAGCCACACTGTCTCCAGTTCTCTCTTAACATTAACACTTTTAGTCCCAAGGAATGCGTCATTCATTGCTACCTAGAAGCCCAATTAACGCAAGAGGTGCTGATTTACATTTCATTACTACCCCTTGGGGCTCCAATGCCTAAAACTCTGGGACTAAAAGAGTAAACATCGTCAGTCCAGTCTAAGACACAGTTCTTGCAGTTATGAGTTCTAGCTGGGAAGATCATGTAGAGAGAAACTGACAAGAAAAATATCAGAAACTCCCATGAGCTAGTATATACGAAAGCCCTAACACTTCAAATGTCAATGCTTACTTGGAATTAGTTTTACTATCATATGCAGAATGTTCAGTGTTCTCCTACTTCTCCTGCAGTTAACTTCAGCGGACAGTGCTGGCTGATCATGTCTTGGCTTTGCTCTTGTTTCAAGGCTTGAGTGTTGTGTGTGCTTCCATGTTACAGTTCCAAGGAAAGGTGTAATCAGACCCTACCCACTGTGAACTTCGGTGCTGGTGCAGGTACTGACACAGCTGTGCATCCCATTCCTTTTCTTTACGTCCACTGGCTGTAAACTCGTGTTGTTCGCCCACTTTGGTCTTGATCCAGAACTTGAAGCTTTGTGTGCACATCTGTTTTACAGATCTGGCTTACTTGTAAACAGATTGTTGATACCTTGCCTCTATGGCAGAAGCTTTCCTGTGAAGGAAACATGCCTATTCAGTTGACTTTTACAAGATGCTTGTAATGGGAGCAGTGGGTCTATTCCCCCCACCCCCAAAATAGGGCCCCAGAACCCACACAAGGAGCATTCCATTCAATGTCCCAGCTCTATATTCTCAGATCTCACCCACACAGGGAGCATTCCATTCAATGTCCCAGCTCTATATTCTCAGATCTCACCCAAAAAACATCAATTTACAACTATTTTCACACACATAATCCATCTAAAGCAGACACAGGTGAAAGCTCACAGAAAACACTGACTACCTCAAGTGGCCTGTAGTCATCAACACCAGAACAGATCTTGTGCTTCTGCTGGCTCAGCATCTGCTTGTTGTTCTGAACCATCCTCTTCAGGGAAACCAGTTCAGAATCCAGAGACTTCAGGATGGCCTCCGGCTGGTTTGGGGGACCTGAGACCATGGCTAGCAGATCATTATGGTCTAAATACATCCCTTTGGGTGGCTTCCGTTTGTGCTTAATAGGGTTGTGGCGACCAGTGCTCTGTGAATCATGTCTTTTTGGTCCTGCTGATCGCATTACACCAGTTCTTCTGAAAAATAAAAGTAACAAGCACACCACTTTGAATTTGCTGAACAATTTATCTATAAGTGCACTTTGTTAGAGTTATTCCTTTCATTTTTTTCCCAAAAAACTTTACAATGAATATGGGGGGGGGGGGGGGGGGGGGGGGGGGGGGGGGGGGGGGGGGGGGGGGGGGGGGGGGGAGGAGAGGGGGGGGGTTACTGCCCCTGACAGAAAACTCCCACAATCTTACAGAGTATTCGAACCGAGGTCTACCACATGACAGCACAGCATTCTTAACCATTTGGCCAGCCACTCCATTTTTAAATACAGGTTAACACTAACTGTTGAAAGGGTAAACTAACTGTTGAAAGGGTAAACTAAGTGTTGAAAGGGTAAACTAACTGTAAAAGGACTTTTCATACCATCACCGCATTGAGTATATAGTGCCAGACCCACATTTGTGCATAGATAATAACTGGGAGACGTGTTTGACATCAAGTCAGCCATTTTTACTTCTTGGAAAATTTCCTGATACTCATTCAGGCTGGATCTCTTTTCTACTTAGCCTTCACCGGCTGTTTTTGGCCCACTACTGAACTCTAGTTCCAGAACTTGTCTTTGGCAAATGTGGCTTATTTGTAGGCAGACTGTTAGTTTCTCATGTCTCAGGCAGATGCACACCGACAGGTTCAACCGGGCAGCCCAGGCCAATTATAAAACTCAAAAAAGATTCAAGCCCAAGATCTTCAGGCTGGCAGGCAAGGGAAAGAAAGTTGTATTGTCCCATTATGTAGCACACACAAATTTTAATAGAAATCCAATCCAAATGAATTTTGATAAATTATCAGTTGAAAATGCATCTGTGTCCGATTACTTACCTCCAATACTGATAGCAGCTATGGCATAAAGAACCTTTTGGGGTTACATGCAACTGAGAAGTTCCGACACCGCAGTTCACACATCGGTTTGCCTCTTTCTGGAATTTTACACATGAAGATATTAAGTTAAACTGCCTAAGCGACTTATATTTTGTCTGTACAAATTAATCCAACTACATGCATGAAGTATGCTTGACAAAATAACTACTTGAAATATGAACTAAAACTATGCTACTGACATTAGAAAACTGGAAAAGACAAGTATTTGGATTAATACTTCCAAAACTACAAAACAGGATATCTTATACTGTTATTTTATTCAACTGAAATCTTTTTCATTTCCAACTGCACTATCAATCCAATTAAACGATCCTTCTCCATGCCATCAGGTGTACTGGGCACATAGGGCTAAACCTGTATTTTATAGGCCAATAGGCACTTGGTTGGTGGGTGATGTGGTCAGCATCATGCCAGCCATCTTTACTTCCCAGGACTATAACTGGTAACCATTTTAGACTGGGTCCACCTGGGAGCCCAAATAATTTTTGAAAAAAAGTCTGGCTCCGTTTGGATTCGAACCCACGGATCCACAGGCAAGAGTCAAGTTGCTATACCAAACTATCAATACAGGTTTCAAAATAAACTCAGCACAAAGCTGAAACTCCTATACTAAATCATGTCTTTAATGAAGAGTTAACGAAGAGATACAAGAATTATTTTTAAAACTTACATTCTCTTTAGTTTTGCCCTCCTCATCAGAATTTGAGTTTTCTGACCCATCATCACTGAAATATGTCAAATAATACTGTTATCAGCTAACAGTTCTGCTGGAAAAAAGCATTGTGTTCATTTTACATTAACTTCTTAAAGAGATGTCACTATACCCTCTCCCTGTGTGGGTTCTGGGGCCCCATGTTGGGATGGGGGAGGAAGAATAGACCCACTGCCCCCCCCCCCTTCCCCAACAAGCACGTTGTAAAAGATGACTAATAAGGTGTGTCTCTTCTGAAGTTGGACTGCATCTGCCTGAAAAGCGAGCAACCAACAGTCTGCATACAAATAAGCCTGAGCTGTAAAATGAATGTGCAGGCAAAACTCAAATTCTGGAACAAGACCAAAATCCAGAAATGTACGAACAAACAGAATTTTTTGCTGGCGTTTACAGTGAACGCTAAGAAGAGATCAAATTCAGATACCTTTTTTTGTGGTGTACACTGAATCTGATTCAAATGAGGACCAGAAGAAGTTCTGATGGAAAAAAAAGGCTGACTGTCGTGGTACTGACCACATCATCCATTGTCCGTTGAGTCAAGAACCATGACTTCAAAAGACTGATAGCTTCAGAGTGACAACCAACTCATTTAATATTATCTGTTAATTTTTTTTTTACAGCTTTATGTCTGAATAAGTATTAAAATAATAGTTTTAAAATGTCATATCTATTTTTTTAGCTGAAGCAACAGTTTGTTTTATTCTCACTGCCCCGCTAACAAGAATGTTGTAAATGGTGACTAATTACGGGCATATCCTGAGTTGAGTTGAGAATTGACATCACAGCACTCAGGGCATTTCCACACATGCTCTGTCCTCATCTTCAGCAAAGGGGCGCCTCCTTAGAAGCTGGAGGGCATCTGACTGAGCGGTGAGCAGATAATAGTTTGCATACAAATAAGCCAGGTCTGCAAAATGAATCTGCATGCAAAACTAAATTTTCAGGAACAAGACCAAAGTCCAAAAAAAGAAAAAAATGCCAGAACTTTCTGCTAGAGATTACAGCCGGTGAATACTAGGAAAGGGGTTGAAGTACCTGACGCCACCACTTCCCAGTTTCTTAGCCTGTCTATCCATGACACTAGACCTTGAGCGAGTTCTCTTCCACGAGTAGAAATATTTGACAAGGGCTGCAATAGGCTTGTCAGGCAACTGTATGAAACAAACATTTCATTAAATAAAATCCACCAATCAATAGTTAGTCAAACACAAAATAAGTAACTTTCTTCTCTCAGTCATTTGTTAGATGCAAAGTCAAGAGACTACTCACAAGACATATTTATATGTAAAACTATGGTTCTGGAAAAATCACAAAATATTTGTTACATCATGCTATGCCATATTCTATTCCTGCTGCTGGAACTCACTAAACAAACATCAACAATGTACCAATTCCATTTCCACTTTGTCCAAGAAAAATTCCAAATTTGATCCTCTTTCAGCCGCCCGGAGGCCTGCTATATCGAAGAAGGGTCCTTAGCTGTCTTATACGGTTTCCTTTTATTTGTGGTATGTAGTCACACCTGATATTACGGTTGTTTGCTTCCTTGCTGTGCTGCGGTGATTGTGGTTTTTGGTTCTGGTGTGATCCAGATCTCTCTGCGATGATATCGACGGGTACTAGCTGACCGTTGCTGGCGCTTGGCTTGCCTAGTGCTGGTCGCTGTGCTGGTGCCCTGTTGCTGCTTGGTTGCCGATCTGTAAGCCGCCGGAAAAAGCCAAACAAACACCAGGTCATAACGCCTCTCCAAACCATGTACCATTTTTACACCTGCTTAAATAGCCACCATGCCTTTTTTTGTCTAATGTACTCACGGCAGGCCAAGGAAATGGTCACAGATTTGAATGCCTTACTAACACTTTCTCCTTGGAAATTGTTGGGAAAACCAGAAAAAATCAAGATCACTAATAAATTTATAAATTTGTGTTTTAAAAAAAATGATGTGGAGTAAACAATAAACATGGACACATCAGAGAATCAAATCTTTTCACAAGTTGACCTTGCCCCCCGAGAAAGCAGTTTTTCCTGCATCTGTAATATTGTGCTGACATGCTTCTTTGGACAGTAGGCACTATACCTATTGAAAACTTTTGGTACTGGCTACAACTGCATGCTGATGCTGTGTAGACACTATATCCCCCCCCCCCCCCCCCCACAAACAATAAATAAAAACAGAGATATTATTTGGGGTAAAAAAAAACCTTTTTTAAAAAAAAAACTGATGTCTTGAAAATCTCATAATCAGGTAACTTTCCTAGACACGGCTAAGTCAACAAAACAACATTGGTTACAGTCAAAGGAATGGAAAGCAGTTAATTCTTTACTCCGTTTGCAGTTAATGATGATTTTTTTTCACATAAAATAATTCTTCTAAAAAGTGATCTTGGCTTCCATGCAGACCCAGCCCTAAAATATAAAACAGAAAATGTTCATGGATGTAAAGAGGGCCATCACATCACCCACCAAGTTTGCTCTAGAAAAATTACAACTAGGATCATATGTACAATACCTGTCACGGTACAATAATGGAACCTTTATGTACCTTCACTCTTTGGTCAGGCCAACTTCATGGTTCTCTGCTCAATCTGTCTTTATTACTGACTCAGATCAGATCAATCCCTAGCAGTAGCAGGATGTTCCTCTGACCAGTACCATCTTGTGGAAGTGGCAATCTTCTGCTTCTTCCCTTCCTCTTTCACCACTTCTTGTGTCGACACAGACATAAGGTTTTGCTTCTTCACTTCCTCTTTCACCACTTCTTGTGTCGACACAGACATAAGGTTTTGCTTCTTCACTTCCTCTTTCACCACTTCTTGTGTCGAGGCAGACATAAGTTTCTGCTTCTTCACTTCCTCTTTCACCACTTCTTGTGTCGACACAGACATAAGGTTTTGCTTCTTCACTTCCTCTTTCACCACTTCTTGTGTCGACACAGACATAAGTTTCTGCTTCTTCACTTCCTCTTTCACCACTTCTTGTGTCGAGGCAGACATAAGGTTCTGCTTCTTCACTTCCTCTTTCACCACTTCTTGTGTCGAGGCAGACATAAGTTTCTGCTTCTTCACTTCCTCTTTCACCACTTCTTGTGTCGAGGCAGACATAAGGTTCTGCTTCTTCCCTTCCTCTTTCACCACTTCTTGTGTCGACGCAGACATAAGTTTCTGCTTCTTCCCTTCCTCTTTCACCACTTCTTGTGTCGAGGCAGACATAAGTTTCTGCTTCTTCCCTTCCTCTTTCACCACTTCTTGTGTCGACGCAGACATAAGTTTCTGCTTCTTCCCTTCCTCTTTCACCACTTCTTGTGTCGAGGCAGACATAAGTTTCTGCTTCTTCCCTTCCTCTTTCACCACTTCTTGTGTCGACGCAGACATAAGGTTCTGCTTATTCCCTTCCTCTTTCACCACTTCTTGTGTCGACGCAGACATAAGTTTCTGCTTCTTCCCTTCCTCTTTCACCACTTCTTGTGTCGACGCAGACATAAGGTTCTGCTTCTTCACCACTTCATGTGTCGAGGCAGACATAAGGTTCTGCTTCTTCACTTCCTCTTTCACCACTTCTTGTGTCGAGGCAGATATAAGTTTCTGCTTCTTCACTTCCTCTTTCACCACTTCTTGTGTCGAAGCAGATATAAGTTTCTGCTTCTTCACTTCCTCTTTCACCACTTCTTGTGTCGAGGCAGACATAAGGTTCTGTTTCTTCACTTCCTCTTTCACCACTTCTTGTGTCGACGCAGACATAAGTTTCTGCTTCTTGCTCTTCTGGCTGCCTTGACCAGTCACATCGTACTATTGTAGAGGTTCTCTGATGTTATCTTTCACTTTGTGCTCCCGTGCTCCACATTCTTCTTCTGGTGTATGCCTAGTATGATATAGTGTCACAGGGCATTCTCTGTAAAAAAAAATTATTTTCTGTCATTGTATGTACAGTAGAACCTCGCTGACCAACCTCACTCTCAAAAAGTTTTAGAGAAAAATCACATCCACATTTTTGCCTGCCTCAAGATGATCGACAAGGCGGGAGAAGGGGTTACCAAGAGAATCTTAACTTCTGCTTAGAAGAAGCTTTGGCCGGAGAGTGTTGTCTATTTTGTGACTTTGAGGGGTTCGAGACAGTACCTGTGAAACCTGTAGTCAACGAGATTGTGTCTTTGGCCACTATCATGGGGTTGTAGGTGGATAACAGTGATATCAAAGAGCTTGTGGAAGAGCACAGCCAAGAGCTGCGTTTTGGAGGAAAGTTTTGTCAGAGGAGGAGGTAACAGAAAAGCAACAATTTTGTGGCAAAATAAGAGAAATGCTGAAAGCATGGCAAACTGTTGCATCTTACATTGAGAAGCATCGCCCTAATAAGGAAGTAGCTATGCGTGTTGCAAATTTATTTAATGATAATGCTGTGTCGCATTTTCACCAAATTTTGAAGCGTCGGCAAAAACAAATCTCTGGACATATTTCTAGTGTAAAAAAATAAAATAATTAGCTATGTATCATAATTATTTCGACTTTTTTTTTCTGCAAATCGAATTCCCATTCCTTGTAGGTTCGTTACGCGTTTGAAGAAAAGATTAAGGTGATCCACTCTCCTTAACAACATATATATAATTTTCTTTGAATAAACGTTATACATAGCATTTTGTGAGTATCTTTTTCGACATGGAACGCATTATCGTATTTTACATTTTTTTATATAAGAAAATTTTTTCGCATAACGAGTGTTTCGCTTAACGAGCATGATTCTGGAACAAATTATGCTCGTTAAGCGAGGTTCCACTGTATTTCAGTATTGATTCTGTGCTGATTTATTTTTAAACTTGTGTAACCTCATTCCTGAGTTTATATCTTCTGGTCACTCCTGCAGCCTTTCTTGGTAACAGACTGGGGAAAAATGTATATCAGCATCATTCCTAGAGGGGCAAGCCCCTTTTCAGCAGGACAAATACCGGGGACATCACAAGTAACGTAATCAACACAACAGGGAAAGGGATATGGGGGTGGGTGAGAAGTAGAGTTGTCAAGAACTGACATCACAGAACTCGGGGCATTCCCATGTGTGCATCGTCCTTATCTTCAGCAGCCAGCGCAGAGTTCCAATACTGATGGTACCAGTCACAATCTGGTTATATGTCCGTCTTGCCTTTCCTCTGAGTGTAGTGAGCCGGCCAGACAGGTGCCTCATTCTCTCCAGGTCATAATAATCTTGTTTCTCTACTAATTCCGTTGCTTGTTCCCAAAGGGTCTTGACTACATCTGCCTTGTCATGTATCAGTTCACCACCCAGTGGTGCAGATCCAGCCAATCTGTCTGCCTGTCCATTACCCACTACTCCTTTGAGGAGAAGGAAGTCAGAGATAATATTTGCTTCAACCAATCAGTGTACTGCTTCAACCAATCAGTGTACTGCTTCAACCAATCAGTGTACTGCTTCAACCAATCAGTGTACTGCTTCAACCAATCAGTGTACTGCTTCAACCAATCAGTGTACTGCTTCAACAAGTCAGTGTACTGCTTCAGCTAGTCAGTGTACTGCTTCAACTAGTCAGTGTACTGCTTCAACAAGTCAGTGTACTGCTTCAACAAGTCAGTGTACTGCTTCAGCTAGTCAGTGTACTGCTTCAACCAATCAGTGTACTGCTTCAACAAGTCAGTGTACTGCTTCAACAAGTCAGTGTACTGCTTCAGCTAGTCAGTGTACTGCTTCAGCTAGTCAGTGTACTGCTTCAGCTAGTCAGTGTACTGCTTCAACTAGTCAGTGTACTGCTTCAACAAGTCAGTGTACTGCTTCAGCTAGTCAGTGTACTGCTTCAACTAGTCAGTGTACTGCTTCAACAAGTCAGTGTACTGCTTCAGCTAGTCAGTGTACTGCTTCAACCAATCAGTGTACTGCTTCAACAAGTCAGTGTACTGCTTCAACAAGTCAGTGTACTGCTTCAACAAGTCAGTGTACTGCTTCAGCTAGTCAGTGTACTGCTTCAACAAGTCAGTGTACTGCTTCAACAAGTCAGTGTACTGCTTCAACAAGTCAGTGTACTGCTTCAACAAGTCAGTGTACTGCTTCAACAAGTCAGTGTACTGCTTCAGCTAGTCAGTGTACTGCTTCAACCAATCAGTGTACTGCTTCAACAAGTCAGTGTACTGCTTCAACAAGCCAGTGTACTGCTTCAACAAGCCAGTGTACTGCTTCAGCTAGTCAGTGTACTGCTTCAACAAGTCAGTGTACTGCTTCAACAAGTCAGTGTACTGCTTCAACAAGTCAGTGTACTGCTTCAACAAGTCAGTGTACTGCTTCAACAAGTCAGTGTACTGCTTCAACAAGTCAGTGTACTGCTTCAACAAGTCAGTGTACTGCTTCAACCAATTAGTGTACTGCTTCAACAAGTCAGTGTACTGCTTCAACAAGCCAGTGTACTGCTTCAACAAGCCGGTTTACTGCTTCAGCCAATCTATGTACTGCTTCAACTAATCAGTGTACTTCTTTGGTTTATTCACGTCCATCGTTTTTAGTGGGGGCAAATTCTGCCTGACAGTGGCCTTTGCATTTTCTTCCATATAGTTTTGTCGCCCAGCTACTGAGCCAGTGCACTGCGGATTTCATTCATAATGTCTTTTGACTGTGACCAACAAGGTATTGTGAACTGTAGATTCAGAAAATGGTTTGGTGCCTTTTTAGCCATATAATTGGTGGTGCCTTATGTGATTAAAATAAACCGAGTGTGCAACTGCTGCTTCCATCAATGATGAACTGCATTTGTAATGTCGGACTGTTTGTATTAGCACTTCTGATGACTGCCTAATGATTTTAATGCGTGTATTAGCTAGTGGACAAGCTAAGACTGTAGCCTGTGTAAATTTGCCCACAAAAAACAGTTTGTGTGTGTTTCTCTGGCATAGGAGTTCAGCAACTAAGATTTTCAAGTGTATTGCTTTAAGCAATCAGTGTATTACTTTCAACCAATCAGTGTATTACTTCAGTCCATAAGTGTACTGCTTCACCCAATCAGTTTGCTAGGAAGCTGAAACTAAGATTATTAAGTGTATTGCTTTAAGCAATCAGTGTATTACTTTCAACCAATCAGTGTATTACTTCAACCAATCAGTGTACTGCTTCACTCAATCAGTGTATTGCTTCAGTCAGTCAGTGCTTCGCTTCAACCAATCAGCGTACTGCTTCAACCAATTAGCACACATGAACCAGGAAGGCATACTCACCATCTGCTTGATACGGTGAAAACTCTTGCCATGGAAACCAAACGCCTGCTCAAAGAGCACTTTATCTTCCACAGACCACTCATCGGGGAAGGGGGTAAAGTTGGGCAGGTCAGACAGAGCACGTTCTATGTTGTGTTTATGCCAGAAAAGCATGCCAAGGGCCTGAGGAAAATTTGCATACTTTGATCACCACATATTTTTTTACATGTCAATTTGCAAGATAACAAGTTAATGAAACTCGTAAGATATTAAACTAATATATGTTTACATCCAGCCCTAAAATGGAAAAGCATTAATCAAAGTATTTTCAGTCACACAACTTGTCATGCACACAGCCACTTTTACTATGTGATATGAAAATCTAACATTCTGGTGACAACAGGATGGTTGCTGTTGTTCTGAAACAGAACACAAAACAAACACAAAATGTGCCTAAGAAAGTCAATGTATTTAGCATCATGTGTGCTGATAAGTCAAATGTTGAACATTTTTTTTTTAAGAGAGGTTATCTTTTTTTTTTTATTAGAGGGAGAGATCTGATCTGTATAATTCAGTGTTATAGCTGTGCCCATGTTACACTGTTGACAAATGTTCCCCTGTATCTGTTTTCTATCTGCATCCTGGCCATATTCTGTATCCCTTCAGTTTTGTGATGGACAGTCTCTTACTGCCTGTAGATACTACTTGGGGAAAGGGGGAGTGTGTGTGTGTCCTTGAAGCTGAGAATACACAGCTGCATGGCTTGTGCAGGTCAGGTTACTTCTGCTCCTGGGAAACGAAAACAATCATCTTACTTAGGATTCAAATTTGTCCCCGGAATGAGAAACCAGCATTGCACCCGCTGGGTAGGATGCTTTTCTTATGGAAACCTAATTCTCCTAAATTAACTGGTTAACGCCTGTCAAAATAAACGACTGACATGATAAGAGGGTGAGAGCCAGGGCAGCATAGATGTTCACCTGCCAGCCAGTCTGAAGACCCTGGGTTTTAATCTCCACTGAGTCATTCCCCCCCCCCCCCTTTCTTCATAACTAACCTTGGTTCCCAGGTTAACTGAGTCCAAAATGGGTATCAGGTAATGTTTTGGGAGGCAAAGGTGACAGTATGATGTTGATCACATCACTCACCATGTGCTGAGTGACCTACAAACAATATGTCTAGCATTATATGCCCAATGCGGTGCCGGGAAAAAAGGAGCCCTTTAAATTTTTAACTTATGATCCCAATACAAAGATTCTTAAGTCAGCATCTGCTGTGTGAACTCACCTGTTCCATGTTGTAATCATGTAGATCTTTGGCTATTCGAATGTATTCATCCACTGAAGGAGTTGTTCAGAAAAATTGTGGAAATAATAAATGTTATAAAAGTGACTCAGTAGCAATGCAGTATCAAACAATATACACCAAGCCAAACACTTTCAGTTTGCTTCAAAGTTCCTCACACTGGTTAGGGAATTTCAGAGTGCCTCACAGTGGTCAGGGCACTTCAGAGTGCCTCACAGTGGTTGGGGCACTTCAGAGTGCCTCACAGTGGTCGGGGCACTTCAGAGTACTTCACACTGGTCAGGGAACTTGAGAGTGCCTCATAGTGGTCAGGAAACTTCTGAGTGCCTCACAGTGGTCGGGGCACCTCAAAGTGCCTCACAGTGGTCGGGGCACTTCAGAGTGCCTCACAGTGGTCAGGTCACTTCAGAGTGCCTCACAGTGGTCAGGGCACTTCAGAGTGCCTCACAGTGGTCAGGGCACTTCAGAGTGCCTCAAACTGGTCGGGGCACTCCAGAGTGCCTCGCAGTGGTTGGGCACTTCAAATCAGAGCATGTGATTCCAAGACCATTGTTGTCATCACATTTAATGTGCATCTTCTCAGATGTTCAGCTCTCAATTTTTGTACAATCATTTGTTACCTTTATTCCCATTGCCTTCTTGATTTGCTCTTCCATGCCATGCAACATGGTCCATGGCATTTTGCTCCCACAAATCTACCTTAAAAAGTGTATCATTCATGTCCCACTTGCTTGCAGCTTTATATAATAGTAGAGGCCAACCCTCACATAGTCAATGGATTATTACCTTTATCTGTACACATTTTTCTATTGTAGTAGTGGGCGACCTCGACATCTATCCACCATCACATAGTCAACAGATGGTGCTTGTAACGTTGTCAGGTCCAGAAAGAGAGTGACTTCCCTTTCCATTCATGCCTCATAGTGTCACAGGGCCTGTCTTTTGTTGCGGGGGTGTCACACTTAGTGACCGGCCAGCAACACGTAGTGTTTTACTCGCTGTTGTCAGTGGCCGGCGATATAGAGTGTATAAAATAAACGCTGCATACAGTTGTGCAACTTAGGCTGCATGCAGTCGTGGAAAGTAGGTTGAGGTAGGGGGTTGGGGTTAGGGGCAGTTCTACATGTTTTGGGACAGTTAAAAAAGCAAAAATAGCGGAAAATAGAACAAACGAAATCGCCAGCCGTTCACAACAAAGAGTAAAATACTACAGGTTGCTGGCTGGTCACTAAGCATGACACCCATGCAACATAGGTAGGCCCTGCGACACTATCAGGCATGAATGGCAAGGGAAGTCAGTCTCTTTTTGAACCTGAGAACAATTTTATAACCCAATAGATAATTACCTTTATCCACACACATCTTTATATCGTAGCACTAGTAGAAGCAGACTTCAACATCTACCCACCATCACAGTCAACTGATAATTACCTTTATCTAAAGTGACTAAAATCACACAGCAGATCTCATTATTAAGACAACCGTGACAACACTATTAACTGCCTTATAGTGACAGTCACTTAAGGAAACATAAAAACAAGTAAACAGACATACAGAATAGACAGCCAACAGACAAACATACAAGAGAAGATAAAACCATTGTAAACCTTTGGCATCTGAGAGATTTGGTGAGGGAGCCCATACAAGCATGGCCTCTGGTTTCCCATCATATTTGGCATCTGAAAGAGTATTACAAACAGGAATCATAATACAAGCAAAAGCAGAGGTGACTACATAGAAGTATCCAGTTTACCACTCTTGCTGACCAGCAATCCGGTGCATTACTGTCTCCATTAACAAGGGTGTTTGGAGATTCTTTAAAAAATGACTGGTTTTCTAATAAAATTCATTAAAAACGAGCCTATAGGTTTGAAACCTTCAGAATACTATTACGTATAGCTGCTACACATTAAAAAAAAGATATGCAAATATGTCATATGATCATGACACCCATTTTGAATTTCTGTGGCTATTTATATAAATTTTAGATGTTTAAAAACCACAATTTTTCTCCAGTTTTAGTGAATTTATTTAATGTCGGTGCAATAAAATGTTGGGGACATGGTTGGCGATAAATAAAATAAGCTCAACTGGAGCACTTTTTACAATGAGCATTTGTTTAAAAAAGCACCTCTAGCTGAAGTCAGAAGTACTCCCTTCATTAACTGGAGGTGATGCTGTAGCTATAGACTTCTACAAGAAGCAGTGTCCGGAACAGTGATTATCTTTAACTATGTGGTATAGCTTGAAACAGGATGTCAAGCACAGAGGTGTACTGAAATCTGGGCAGTTCATGCAAGTCTGTTTGTCTTTGATCTGCAGCCTTACACACTTTACAGTCTGGTTTGTACGTTGGCTTTTTATATTTTTCAAGAAAATGGTGCTCAATAAGTCGTGGTGTTGTGACTTCTGGTCTGAAGAACAGCAGATCCAATAACAGCAAGCCTGACACCCTGTTAGAACCTCTCTGCTGTGATCTTATTCGCAGAGTTGGCAGTGTTCTAGCTTATATGCCCATTGACCAGAAAATTTCAACTTAAAAAAAAATATACATACATTTTTTTTCAGCTGGCCAAAGTGACTGACACCCCCCCCCCCCCCACCAAAACTTTTCTTGTATTTTTCTGCAAGAACTAGCTTGTTTATATTATTCTGCCCCCATGACTTCCACTTTTCCTGTCTTGTCCATAACATCATTGGAGTAAACAGTAGAAATCAGGTTAATTCTCTTAGTGTCACGCCAGATGATTGTCAACATGACTTAATCTTCTGTCACACAAAACAGGATGATCTGCCTTTTTCAGTTTCAGCTGCTTTTTCTTAAAAAAATTAATCGGCATACACCCGATTGTGTCTGATATGGCACCTCGTTGTTCTGCTTATGGAGGACGATTGTCAAGCTTACCAAGTTCATTTTGAGCAGCCTTTTTTTTCCATTTCCAAACAGCATTTTTTAACTGTAGAAATGTTCTGGCCTCATGTGCCCCGCCCACTTCAGTCTTCAGATGTACATACATCACCTCCGTCATCAAGTCTATCAACGTTGTAATCTCAATTGCGATATGACGATAAAATTTACTGGTGTATCTCTACTTATCCAAAAGTTGACATTTTCAGCGATTCATTCGCTGGCAGGTTCCGAATCATCAAGACTATGGGTCTGGCTTTTGTCATCAAACACGACAAAAAGGCTAAATATGTGCAGGTAACGAAAATTAACACTATTTCACTGAAAACAACGCTTGTGTTGCTCAAAGCGATATTGATTGTAGGCTGGGAATAATAAAAATACTCAGATGAAGCTCAATTCGAAAACTATTGGTAAAGCAGTCAGTTTGCAATTTACATGTCACGCATACGAAAATCGTCGAAGTTGGTCACTAAGGGATATGATCGGAAATTCGCCGATCATCACAGTTGGTCAGCAAAGTGTTCAAAAGTTGTAACTGCTTCAGTGAAAAAAGAATTAGAAATTTTTTTTAAATGGTCAAGTCGTTTGACTTGCGCCCTGAAGGTAGTAGCTTCATATCACAGCCGTGCCATTTGGTTTACGAGTGCAAGTGTTACAAAGATCCCTGGGAATTCACCAGAGCTAGGAAGTTCATGCTTTGTGTGATGCTCTCGGCAGGCAGCCAGCTATTCTGCAAAGAGAAACTGAGCCATATGGTATAAAAGCCAGTGCACGAACTCAGTGTGACACGTCAGTAAAGGGTTCTTCGGAAAAAAAGGCATATGGTGCCACATCTAAAGATTGTTCAACACCAATAAGCACTCAACTGACAGTGTAGCAAACATCAGGCTAGCTGCCTTTACTTGCACACATATTTTGGAAGCCATTTTAAGCAGAGAAGATGGCGCTAAAGGACACATCCTGAGAGAAAACAAGCAGAGAATCACCAGACAGGCATTAAAATAGGAAATAAAGTGGCGAGAATACCCAAAAAAAAAGCCCTTAAATGAATGCTGATGACTGAGGCCAAAGGTGCTTGACTGGAGTCCATTCATGTAGAGTTGGTTGTCCAGGACAGAACGGAATAGGAGAAAGGACTGCGAGCTCTATGTGACACATAATGGACCACCAGGACAATTATGATGATAATTTTAACTAGGAGTCCTAACAATCTACCCAATCATGGATTTGAACCCCGTTAAATTAAGTCCTACAATGAACCCTATTACATCCAGTCCTACACTGAACCCCATTTAATCTTAATGAGCATTCAGCAACCAGTCATTTGCTTCTTCTTCGTGTTCACCAGTTGTAAACTCGGGGGGGGGGGGGGGGGGGGGAAGAGTTCTGGTTGTTTATCCACTTCTGGACTTTTGCTGGTTTTCTTCCAGAAAGTGAGTCTTGCGTGCACATCACTATTACATATCTGGTTTATTCAGACTGTTAGTTCTTTGCCTCACAGGTAGATGCGCATCGACTTCCTTTAAAAGAAACAACCCTAATTAGTTGCCTTGTACAACATGTTTGTTAGTGAGGCAGTGAGTCTATTTTTTTCCCCCCAGTTCCTGCACCAGAATCTAACTGGGGACTATTAAGTTCAGTCTTACAAAGCTTTCTACAACCAGTTCAATGCAGAAACTACTCAAATAATTCATCTGGTTAGTGCACCAATAGAGTATCTTGTACATCCTTCTTCTAAACAATACAGTGATTTCTTTAGATGTTTATTTCTGTGGGTCTCTAAAACTACTAAAAGCGGCAATTATAAATCTTTACAGAATGTTTTTCTAATCATAATGTGTACCATTTATCTACCCTTTTTGTGTGTGCATTTATCAGCATTATATTTTAAATAGTACAATTATTTAAGTTCTAAAATTGACTTCAGTATTGGACATAATTATTTTTATAATGTATATTTTTCTCTTTTGAGTTCCAAGGAATGCATCATACGTTCATAAGTTGCTGCCTAGAAGCCCAATAAACGCATGATGCGCCGATTTGACTTCTCTCTTGACTACACCTTGGGCCTGTGATGCTGAACGCTCTTGGATTCAAAGAGTTAACAGACAAACAATTAAACATAAAGTAACTTGCATATTAAATTATATATGATTATATACTGCAGTTCAAACAGTAAATGCTCTTCACCTGAACCATTTAGAAGACAAGCATGGTTGGATTTTGGCAAATTAAATAAGCTGAACTCAGCAAACAACTCAACATTTATTGGTCCCTTTTCAAAGATTATATAAATGAATGATCCTGCCCCTCTTGCAGGCAGAGAATCTTTGTATGTTAATGAGTTTACTTTGGTGTCATAATTTTAGACTGAACCTTTTTATGCCTAAGAATGTATTGACTTTAAGCTTAATTCCTTGGGATTGAAGGGGTTAAAGTAACAAGTGATTTGGGACTGAGAGAGTTAACTGGTTATCACGGCCGCTGTCAGCCACAGGTGAGACCAGGCAGCGGAGACAACTCTTACCTGGGATATACTCGGGGATCTCTGCTTGGTACTCCTCCCCTACCCGCATCCCGCAGTCTGTGGAAATAAACGACAATCATTTACCAAAGCCAAGCATAAATAATTCATCTTGCACCGACCACAATTTAATCATTGATTCCCCAGAACTAGAACCCTCTCCGCAGGACATGGACACTGGCAGAAAAATTACCGTAGTTATGAAAACAACAGCCGTTTTCGTTTCCTACTCACCCTGATCAGATTCATCGCCACTGTCGTCTGATTGAGAGCTGACCTCTCTAGACCGTCTCCCGTTCCGGTAACTGTCGCCACTTTTGTCTGCCATGGTATATTTCATCTGTTGGGCTCTTTTTCCGCAAATGCAGAAGCTTCTTCATGAAACAATAAATACTTTCCTCTGCAGTTTCAACGTGCGATCTCTGGCCGCGGTGTCCAGACCTAACTACCACTTCACCATATTTATCAACCGCGTTACAAAATAAACTCAATAGTTGCTTTCCTGTATTCCTATTTACAGCTTTTTTAAATTTTACTGCATATAATTTCTATTACACATCATCAAATATCATGCAAACACTGAACTATTGATTAAATTTACAAAAACGTGATATAAATGTTATTGAAGTTTACAAAATATTACTACGCCTTCACTATGGGCACTTATTTTACAAACTTGTTCCAAATTCTGTGTAAATGTTATCAACACAATTGTTTCCACTGCGTAAATCAGTTTATCTAACAAGTTTAGATATTACATATATGCCTATGGCAAAATTTCAAGTTATGTGGCTAAAAACGCAACGTATCACGAATTAGTTGGGTTTATTCATATCTACGTAAATTGTGTTTCTCGAGGGATTCCGTAATCGTTCTAATATATTTATGATTGCGTCAAATGTACATATAAATTTGTGGTTTCCTGATTAGTTTAAGTAATTATATGTTTACTAAATCAGTTTTTAGCAGAAATAAATTTTAAACAACTTAATTTTAATACGAACGACAATTTTACACATATTGTTTTTAATAATGTACGTTCTTTGCCAAAACGTGTTTCCATAGAAATATGGCTTCCGTAAGGTTATCCGTTGATCGGTTTAATTTTGTTATCTTTTATAGAACTATAGTTGAGAGAATTATATTAAAAGGCACATTTCAGCGAAAAAGTGTTATTATAATATTTTGAAACACATTGCCTCCTGAACACTAACAGTCAATAACTGAATACAAGCTGTAGTGCTAACGCGGTATACGTAACATGTGCTTATTAGATCAAGTACGGTAAATGGGCAAACACTTTGCCTCCCGAACTTCACCCTGGCCCGGGCCGCGCGCGCGCATTATCGATTTCGTAATTTTCCTCCTATTTGCTTTCTAACTGCTTGAGTTTGGTCTGAATTGTAACTTTCAAAATGATTGCTTCTTGAGCACAAACAAAACCGAAGTAGCCCGGTGATTCTTTCGTTTTGTACGTAGTTCACAAAATGCATAACTTATTTTCCTTCTCCAGCATTTCAATCCCTTGAGATTCATTGCTGCAGATATCACCTGCCATATTCATCTTTGTGACTGATCTTCGCTTTCCAGTTGGTGTCACCAAGTGTTTGTAACTCTGCTTGGGTGTTATCTCTCCGTGGCATTCTTGGTCTGCCTCGTGTCTACGGCAAGTCAATTCCCTTGTGTACACGGTTTTTGCAAATCTGTCTTGTCTTATCTTGTCTTGTCCACAATTGCCTCACAGCGTAGTGGGAAGTCGCAGTTTTCTATCCTGGGCCAGGTGTGTTGCACGTGTTGTTGTTAGTCCGTGTTGCCTCACGATCTCTGATATATTGTCTATCCATCGTACTCTCGGTCTGCCTCTTGCTCTAGGGCAGTAGTGCTGTTCGTTGTATGCTCGTAGAGGCAGTTGGTCGGTTTGCATTCGCATCAAGTGGCCAAACCACTCTATTTGTTGCTTCTTTATGTACTGCAGGCACGGTGTGGTTCCTACAATTGCTCTAATGTTCTCGTTTCGAACTCTGTCTCTCCTTGTGACATTGGCAGCCTTACGTAAGCATCTTATTTCGCACGTCGTGATCTTTTTCTCCTGTGCTCTTGTTAGGGACCAGATTTGGCATTGGTAGCAGAGAGTTGGTATAAACATGCAATTTATCAGTTGTCGTTTTAGTGCCATAGTGATGCTTGGGTGTTTTAGCAGTGGGGAGAGTTGGTAAGTTACTGCGTTCGCCTTTTGACATCTTGCCTCAAGTTCTCTATCAATTCTTCCATCATCTGTGAAGATGCTCCCCAAGTATTTAAATTGCTGCACTTGTTTGAGTTGTTCGTTGTTAACTTGAATAGTTAGTATATTAGGTGTTCTACTTATTTTCATAATTTCTGTTTTGGTGATGCTGATCTTCATGTTATATTCGTTGCAGACTGTGTGTAGCGCATTTACGTGGATTTGAAGTTCTTTTTCGTTTTCATGTTATCTGCCATTATGTCTATATTCTCCAGCCGTTTCAGTCTGTTTAGCCCTCATGATGCCATTGATCAGTGATGTTCAAGGTGACCAGAAAGTTTTGAGCTGTCCTTTAGAGATCATGTGGAGGCAATTGCGGTGAAATGTCAAAAAAGGACTCTATGCTGTCAAGATTACGGCATCAATGGGCGTGAAACAAAGAATGCTGTTCACAATGTTCCAACATGTGATCCTGTCAGTGATAGATTATAAACGTGTAATGCCTACCGCATAAAAGAATCAACTAATGAAACTTGAACGCATTCAGAATGAAGCCATGTGGGTAATTCTGGGATGTACCAGAGATACCCCGGAAGAATGCATGCAATATATACTTGAGCTGCCTACTATTGCATATAGGCTCAAAGTTCTGCAAGCAAAGTCATGTCTCAAAGTAGCTGCAGACAAGAAGCACACCCTGCATGAAGCCCTAGGTAGAGCCACGCCCATTTGTATCTTTCTAAAGATGGCCGTGGTAGAGCTAAGGGTAAATTACTGAAAAGAGGAAGCTCATGGAGGCGCATGCAAGACACAATTAGACATGTGTGCAGGTTTGATAAATTTAGGCGAAGAGAGGAGTGGGTCAAAGTGTTATTTAAGAATCAGGCTTGTGTATGGTTCTAATCACTTTAGATCGTGAGTGCAGGGACGACTGGCCAGCTGGTGCAGAAACAGAAGTTCAATAAAATGATTCATGGCGATTCCCGCCCCGGTGATGTGATTATTTATACAGATGGTTCTGTGTTGGTTAGTTTTTATAAGGAGTAGAAAATTATAGGGAAGAGAAAAAGTTGGTAAGAAACAACAATTAATTTATGTTAGCTTTACAAAATCGATCACAATAAACAAACAAAGGACGTTGCGGCGATTATCCTTCATCAGCACATAAAGGACAACACAGTACACATACACAAATAGGCTCTAACTATGAAGTGACTACATAGGACTCTAATGTATAGAATAAACGATACTCATCTAGTGTCCCTGGCGAAAAAACTTCGTTCAATGAAACGACGGTCAGCCTATATACCTCCAACGCGCAGGTAGGGGCAAAAAAAGGGACGGGTTGGACGCCAACAGCGTACACTGAGTGTCTAGGGAGGGAGGGGTTGGCCTATAGGGCGTAACCGGGGTTGGGCTGTGGGGATTACCCTAGTCCATCCGCATGGAATAAAAGTGGTGCCTGTGCTTGCAAACAAATATCAACAGACAGACAGCTAGATTAGATAGATAGATAGATAGATAGATAGATAGATAGATAGATAGATAGATAGATAGATAGATAGATAGATAGATAGATAGATAGATAGATAGATAGATAGATAGATAGATAGATAGATAGATAGATAGATAGATAGATAGATAGATAGATAGATAGATAGATAGATAGATAGATAGATAGATAGATAGATAGATAGATAGATAGATAGATAGATAGATAGATAGATAGATAGATAGATAGATAGATAGATAGATAGATAGATAGATAGATAGATAGATAGATAGATAGATAGATAGATAGATAGATAGATAGATAGATAGATAGATAGATAGATAGATAGATAGATAGATAGATAGATAGATAGATAGATAGATAGATAGATAGATAGATAGATAGATAGATAGATAGATAGATAGATAGATAGATAGATAGATAGATAGATAGATAGATAGATAGATAGATAGATAGATAGATAGATAGATAGATAGATAGATAGATAGATAGATAGATAGATAGATAGATAGATAGATAGATAGATAGATAGATAGATAGATAGATAGATATAGATATATAGATAGATAGATAGATAGATGCTTCTCTCTTACTGTCAGCTATCAAATAGAGACAGTAAGGATGCTTGTTATACAAAAGTATTCAGTCGAGCCCGAGAGTAAGACTGGTAACAACCAGAGTGTAAGGGAGCGATGAAGGGATAGATGGGAAAACAGTATGTGTGGATGATGGTGTGGATAGGCGAGTTTGTCCTGGATAGATGGGTGGGTAGATGAAAGGATGGAAGGATGGATGACTGTGTTAGTGGATGAATGGAATGGTAGATGGATGGATGGGTGGGTAGATGAATGGATGGAATGATGGATGACTGTATTAGTGGATGAATGGAATCGTAGATGGATGGATGGATCGACCAAATATGAGATGAGGTAAAAACATGAGTCTAGTAACACAGTGCTTCTCTCTTACTGTCCGCTATCAAATAGAGACAGTAAGGGTGATTTTTATACAAAGTATTAGTCGAGCCCAAGTGTGAGGCTGGTAACAGCAAGAATGGAAGGAAGCGGTGAAAAATAGCATTGAGTGGATGGTGAGATAAATGGTGTGGGTAGATGAATGGGCGGGACGATGGTTACGTTCGTAGGTAGATGCAATGGTAGATGGATGGATGGATCTGCCTATATGTATGCTGATATATTAAAACAGGTTTGTTGCTTTGTTTTAGTATCCAGAAGCCATGAGTTGTAAATCCTTAGGCTCGGTATTATGGATATCGCAACCCTTCGGCCTTGATTCCATTTTAAATACCGTAAAACTAAGAGAAATGTGGCTTTTATGCCTACCCCCGGAAGTGAACCCGGACCACAAGGAGTTCGTCACCCGCTCACCGCGCAATCCGGTTTAGCCAACTACGCTAGAGAGCCGGGGATTTAAACAGGTCCAAACAAGGGTATCATACTGTGATGCTTCTCTCTTACTGTCATCAAGCAAGTAAAGACAGTAAGGGTGATTGTTATACAAAGTATCAATCGAGCCCACTGGGACGTAGACGAAGTGCATGGGGTTCATAGCAAAAGCGAACAGACTTTGCTTAGCGCAACAA